TTTATATATATATATATATATATATATATATATATATATATATATTTGTAATTTATTCATGTTTAAATTTATAAAAAAAAATGATGGGGGAAGTAAATTTATGTAATTATATAAAAATTGTTTAAAAAATTTTATTTTATTCAAGAACGTTTATTTTAAATTAAAAATTATTACTTTTAAATTTTTTTTGTTTACGAGGAAAAAAAAAAAAATATCTACTGCTTGTTTATGTTTAAAAAAAAAAAAAAAATTCTTACTTACTTAAATCGAGTAATAAAACAAAAAAAATTAATTAATTAATTAATTACGATAAAATAATTTTTCTTTTTTTTTTTTTGTTCTCTTAGGGGTTCGCAATTTTAATGGCAATAGAAAGGTTTTAATTATTATTATTATTAATAAAATTGTTTTTTTTTTTAAATCGAATCAAACATTTTAAATAATTGATTTTTTTTTTTTTTGTTACAGTCAAGATTTTCCATTGGATAATAATAAGGAATATAACGTGGAAAAGAAAAAAACACGTGTCAAACCCGTGTCGTTTTTTTCGTTAGTAAGTTTTAAATAATTATTTATTTGTTTTCCTTTTTTTTTTTAAATATAAAGAAAAAATATTTAATGTTATATATATATTTTTTTTAATAGTTTCAGTATTCTACACCCAAAGAAAGATGTGGAATAGGTTTTGGTATAATATTGGCCTTAGTAAACGGATGCATTCCTGCTACTTTAAGTATTATTTACGGAGAATTTTGTAACATGTTGGTGGATCGTCAATTTCCTCCGCAGGGCCCATCCACACGAACATTTATTTTAGAATGGTTTGGCGGTGGAAGAATTCTGTAAGATTATTTACATTAATTTATCAAATTTAGGTCAAGGGGATGAAAAATTCAAATTATTATTATTATTATTATACATCATCATCATAATTGTTTTTATTGTTATTTACAGAGTAAATGCTACAGAAGAAGAGAGGCGAGCAGCACTGGAAGAGGATTCAGCTGCTTGGTTTTTCGGATGTGCATCATTAACTTTTTTCCAGTTTGTCATTTCGTTGCTCTCGGTTTTTTTATTACATTTAACTGCCGCATTACAAGTTATAAGAATTCAGTCTTTATTTTTCAAATCCATAGTTTGTCAAGATATGGCATGGTACGATACTTCTATGGAGGGAAATTTTGTAGGCAAAGCAACAAAGTAAGACTCGAATATTTTTTTCTTTTTTTTTTCTATTGAATTTTCTTTTTTTTTTATTGTCGAAGAAAACATTTCTTTTAAATCTATTTATGTACTTATTATTATTATTATTATTTTTTTTTTTTTGTTTTTTTTTTTTCTTATTTCCATTTCGTTTTATTTCCATTAGTTTTGAAGCCGATTTCTGTCCAGCTGTCCCCAATCATCCTCAGTCAAAAAAAAAGATATCTAATGACTGATCAATTATTTTCATATCAGTAATTTGGAACAACTTCAAGTCGGAATCGGAGGAATAATATCAATTTTCGTGTACCTGGTTGGAATATTCGGATGTGGAACCCTGGTAGCAATGATATTCGGATGGGAATTGACTCTCGGAATATTAGCAACAGCACCGATTATAATAGCAACAGCAATATTTACCACCAAGGTAATGGAAAACACTTTTTAATTTTTTGCCGCGGATTTTAATTTTATTATTAACAATATAATAAATATTTATCGTGAAATTTTTTAGATTCAAAGTAAATTGCATGCTAAAGAAATGATAAGTCAGAGTGCAGCTGGAAAAGTTGCCGAAGAAGTTTTTTCATCTGTTCGAACGGTTGTCGCATATGGCGGACAAAAAAAAGAAGTTGAAAGGTAAGATTACTCCATATTTACACATTTTTTTTTACCGCGTATAAATTATTGTAAAGTGTAAATCTCTCTTCTTTTTTTAAAGAAAAAATTTTAATTTTTATTTTAAAGGTATAAGAATCATTTAAAAAAGGTTGAATCATATGGAATAAAACGTGGAGTAATGAATGGAATTAATGGCGGTATTTTATGGTTCATAATATATTCCTCGTACGCCATAGCTTTTGGATACGGTATGAGACTGTTTGAACTTTCTGAAAAAAATGGTGATGAAAATTATACTCCTGCAGTTTTACTTATCGTACGCTATAATTTCAATTTAATATTTTTTTTTTTGAAATTTGAAAAATTTTTTATTTTAAATGAAAACTTAAATGTCCTCATATTTAAATAGGTATTTTTTGGAATTTTCATCGGACTGACAAATATAGGTTTTGCTATAACTCATTTAGAAACATTTTCACTCGCTCGAGGAGGTGCCACATCAGTTTTTAATATAATCAAAGCAAAACCTAAAATAAATCCGTGTTCTCCGGAAGGGAAAATATTGGAACAATGTACAGGCGAAATAGAATTTAAAAACGTTTATTTTACTTATCCAGCGAGGAAAACGGTAAAAATTTTCGATGGATTAAATTTAAAAATAAAAGCTGGAGAAACTGTTGCTATCGTAGGAGAATCTGGTACTGGAAAGTCAACCATTATACAATTACTACAGAGATTTTACGACCCGATATCAGGTAAAAAAAAAAAAAAAAAAAATTAATTAAAGGTATTGTAAATGACGGTTAAAAATAACTTTCTTGTTATTTTCTTGTCCAGGTGATATTTTTATAGATGGTGAAAATTTAAAATCATTACGTGTATCTTGGCTTCGAAGTCAACTGGGAGTTGTTGGTCAAGAACCTCTTTTATTCGCAGCTACCATCTACGATAATATTTTATACGGTAATTCTTCAGCCAGGTACGAAGAGGTTGTAGAAGCCGCAAAAAAAGCCAACGCACACGATTTCATAATAAAGGAAATGGAAGTAATTTTTTTTTTTTTTTTTACTTTGTAATTAGTGTGTTCGTTATTTGAAATTGGTATAATTTTTTTTGCAATGCTTAAAAATTCATTATAATTTTAGAAATATTATAGTGTGGTTGGTCAAAGAGGTTCGACGTTATCCGGAGGACAAAAGCAAAGGATAGCAATCGCGAGAGCTTTGGTAAGAAATCCTGCTATACTTTTATTGGATGAAGCAACTTCCGCTTTAGATGCTGCAAGTGAAAAATTAGTTCAAGGAGCTTTGGACAAAGCCGCACTCGTAATAACAAATGTTTTTTTTTTTTTTTTTCTTTTTTAAATTTAAAAAACAAAAAAATTTAATTTTCAATGTAAATTAATTTAAACAGGGGCGAACAACAATAATAGTTACTCATAAATTATCGACAATAACTAATGTTCGTAGAATTGTAGTATTGTCGAATGGAGTCGTAGCTGAAGACGGTACTCATGAAGATTTGGTTAAAGCTAAAGGAATTTATTATGAATTATTGAAATCTCAAGAAGAAGTGGCAAAACGTAAAAAAAAAAAGAAAAATTTTGAATTCATTTTTTTTTTTTTGAATTTTTGAATATTGAAATTTTTTTTTTTTTCGGGTTTTTAGAAAAGCCAAAAGAAAACGTTGATTTTGTTCATGATCCATCGGATATGGTATTGTCTTCAATAATTCCTTCGACTCCGAGAAGTCAATTTAATTCTTTAACAAATTTTGGTAAAATCCCAAAGCGAAGATTTGATAGTTACGATAAAGACATGGTTTTTTATAAGAAAACAAGTTTTTGGCAAATTCTTCTTTGGAACAAATCAGAATGGCATTATTTAGGAGTTGGTTTTATAGCGTCATTCCTGGCTGGATGTGCTCTACCAATAGTTTGCCTTATTTTTGGTGATTTATTCGGAGTAAGGAAAAAAAAAAAAATTTAATTTCTTTTCTTTTTTTTTTTTATTCAAATTGAATATTAATTAAATTGAGGAATTATAATAATAAGGGTGAAGAATTTAAATTTGAACTTTTTTTGAAAAAAATTAAAATATTATTTGATAATTTTATGTATTTTTTTTTTTTTTTTTTATTAGTTGTTGTCAATGGACGATTTTAATGAAATAATATGGTGGGCTGATTTTTACGCCATACTTTTATGTACAATCGGCATCGTTGCGGGGCTCAGTGTATTTTTTCAAATGTATTGTCTCTCAGTGGCTGAAATGCGTTTAACGTGCAGACTAAGAACAAAAGCATTTGAATCTATGTTAAAGCAGGTGCCACATATATATATTCATTCATTCATTTATAACACTAATTTAAAAATAAAATTAATGACGACGTTAATGATAAATAAAATTTTTATTTAGGAAATGGCATGGTTTGATGATGAGAAAAATAGAGTCGGTGCTTTATGTTTAAGATTGGCCCAAGACACGTCCCTTTTGCAAGGAGCAACTGGTACCCGACTCGGAGTCATAATTCAAGCGTTTTGTGCCATGTCAATAGGTGATACAATTAATAAAAAAAAAAAAAAAAAGACATCCTTTGTATCTATTTTATTATTATTATTATTACAATTATAATCTTATGTTTGTAGCCACGATATTGAGTTTCTTTTTTGCTTGGAAAATGGCAATTGTTACTCTATGTTCAATACCCTTTGTTTTCACGGGAGTCTATATTGAATCTTTGTTCCTAAGGGGAAATCATTACCAAAGCAGTCAATCAATGGAAAACGCGTCAAAAGTACATATATATATATATATTTTAAAGTTTTGTATATTATTAGAAAATTCAAATTAAGAAACGTTATAATTTATAGATAGCCGCCGAAGTCATTGAAAATATTAAAGTCGTTGCAAGTTTTGGTAAGGAATCTTATTTTATTGAAAAATATACGCAAGTAATCGAAGAAGAAAAGAGAAGGATTTATAAAAAGGCATTTGTTAGAGGTTTTGCTTTTGCCATCGGTCAAACTGCACCTTTATTCGGTTACGCAATATCATTGTGGTACGGTGGATATTTAGTCGCAAACGAATCCCTTTTATACAAATATGTTATTTCGGTAATTTCTAAACGCAAAAAAAAAAAAAAAATATTTATAATTTTTTTTTTTTTTAGTTTTGGAAATTTTATTAATTTTCAGGTGTCGGAAATGTTAATTTTTGGTGCTTGGACTCTTGGACAATGTGTCGCTTACACGACGGGTTTTCATTCGGCCAAAGAAGCAGCGGGTAGACTTCAGTATTTATATTTAAAAAAACCCGAAATAACAGATGGAGAAGTAACCGTTTTCCCAAATATGAACGGCGAAGGTTCTTTAAATTATTCAAAGGTGAAAATTCTTTTCAACCGGATGTATTTATTATTATTATTATTATTATTATTAATAACTTAGTGAAAAGAATAAATTTTTTATTATTTAGGTTAATTTCTCTTATCCATCAAAACCCAAAGTTAGAGTCTTACGTAATTTTAATTTAACATTGAAAGATGGGACTTCGATTGCTCTGATGGGGCCGAGTGGTAGCGGAAAATCAACTATTGTTCAATTACTATTGCGATTTTATGATCCCACTTCCGGAAAAATAATCATAAATGACATAAACATATCCGATTTTAAATTGGAAACGTTAAGATCCAAGCTTGCATTAGTATCTCAGGTTAATTTTTAAAAACATAAGAAAATTTATGGGGGGATGAGGGGAAAAGGAGGAGGAGGGGGGAGGGAAATTTGTTTAATTTAATATACTTCAATGATTTGATTTTTTTTTATTTTTATTTTTTTTTTTTTTTTAAGGAACCTATTTTGTTTGATAGAACTGTTAAAGAAAATATAGAATATGGTGATAATTCAAGAGTTGTAACAATGGATGAAATAAGGGATGCAGCACAAGCTGCTAATATACATGCTTTTATAGAATCACTACCGGAAGGTTACGAAACGAGATTAGGAACGGGAGGAACTCAGATATCCGGAGGGCAAAAGCAAAGAATAGCAATCGCGAGAGCTTTAGTAAGTTGAATAATAATATTGATTTAAGGGAAAACTAAATTACTTCTTTTACTGTGATTTGTTTTTGTTGTTGCTCTTGCCAGATACGAAATCCCCAAATATTAATATTAGATGAAGCCACATCGGCACTCGATCCTCAAAACGAAAGCGCCGTACAAGGAGCTTTGGATGTAGCATCCACCGGTCGAACGACAATAATAGTAGCACACAGATTAGGAGCCGTACAAAATGCGGATATAATTTGCGTTTTGGAAAGGGGTACGATTAAGGAAATGGGAAGTCACAAACAATTGATGGCATCAAAAGGAATTTATTATTCAATGCATTAAAGAAAATGATTAAAAACTATACTGTTGTACTTTTCTTTGTTTCTTTTTCTTGTTGTTTGTTTTCTTTCTTTCATAAAAAAAAAAAAAAAAAAAAAAAAAAAAATGAAATTTAATTACTTTTTTAATAATAATAATAATAATAATAAATAAAATGTTAACTAAGAAAATTTATTTAAAAATTTTTCTTTTCTTTTTTTTTTTTTAAATAGTAAAATTATTATTATTTAAAAATTTAATAAAATTTAATAATAATGAATTTCGTAAATTAAAATTAATTTCAATTTATTCTTATGTACATTATCATTATTAATTTTATATATAAATATTTTAGGTTGATTAAAATAAATTAAAAAAATTGATCTAATAATAATAATAATAATAATAACTATATTTTTAAAATTTTATTTAATTCATTTAAATTTTTTTTTTTTACCGTATTATTATATTTATTTTTGTTTGTTTTTTTTTTTTTTACGAAGGTTTCTCCTCTAAATAACAAATAATAATAATAATAATGATAACTATTTTCTTATTTAATTTTTTTTTTTTTAAATTATTAACTAATTTACTGAAAGAAAAAATTAAAAAAAAAAAAATACCAAAATACGAAAAATTATCCAAATAAATTTTGTTATTTTTTATAAACTATTATTATTATTATTAATCATGTATTATTAAATACATAAAAGCTAAATTATAAAACATTAATTGTATTAAATAACAAAAGGAGATGAACGTGTATTTATTAGTTTCGTCGGAAAAAATTAATAAACAAATTTATTTAATAAAAAAAAAATAAAACAAACGAAAAAAAATTAATTAATAATTTAATTATTAATCAAAACCTATTTATTAATAATTTTATTAACACTTTCGTATAAAACAAAAGTCGTAATAATAATTTTTTATCAAAACTTATTAAAGCAAAAAAAACAAAAAGAAAAAAACGAAACAAAACAAAACAAAAAAATTTTTAATTTTTTTTAAGTTTAAATTTAAATTTAAAAATTGCATAAAAATATTAAAGAAAAATTAAATTAATTGATATTAATTAATAATAATAATAATAATAATAATAATAATAATAATGACATTCATTCAAAAGCTCTCCTCAAAAAAAAAAAAAAAAATGAACTAAAACGACTATTATTTTAAATTATTATTATTATTAATTTTTTTTTCTCTATTGAAAAAACAAAGGATTCTATAAAATTTATTAATATTATTATTATTATTATTAACATACACATATGAAAAAAAAAAAAAATTAAATTTGAGAGAGAGAGAGAGAGAGAGAGAGCAGATAACTATATCAAGCCACAAAAAAAAAAAAAAAAATTTATTTTTATTTTTTGGGAAGACTTTTTAAAATTTGAATAAATTTTGTTATAATAATAAATTATATCAGTCATAATCAAATATTAAAAAGTTTATTATTATTATTATTATTATTATTAATTTAAATTTTAATTTTAATTAAATTTTAAATAAATTAAAAAAATAACTAGTTCAGTACCTTTTTTTTTTATCAATTTTGAAATATTTTAATAAAATTCATTTATTTATTTTAAATGTTTTTAATTTTAATAATAATAATAATAATAATAATAGAAAAAAGCACAAAAATTTTCAAAGGCCAAATATTTTATTTTTATATAAAAAAGAATCGAATAAAATTATTATTATTATTAATAATTAAATCTAAAAACAAGAATATTTAATAATAAAAAAAAAAAAAAATTTTTTTTTATAATAAAATTTTCCCATTAAACTCAACGCCAACTTATTAATAAGATATAAAAAAAAAGGAAGGAAATAAAAGGAATTTATTTAATTTGTGTAATTTTTTTTTTATCTAGAAGGCGGATATGAGGTTATGGGTAAAGGCATTGGTCCAGAATTTTCCGACAGAGTCGAAGTATCAAGTATGTCTTGAATATTAGAATTTTCCATCGAGTTATTACCTTTTAATTCTATACGCGTCGTCATTTCGTTCGTATTTGTGACGGTAGATGGCACTGAATTAATACTTGTTAATAATGCATCGTCTAATATTTTATTTTCTTGGTGTATGTTGTTATCATTTATCAATATGGACTCGTCGTCATCCTGTGGTTTTTCTTCTGGTAATAACAAATAAGGCTTTATTTCTTGGCTGTCGGATGACGTATTCGTTTTTTCCGCATGAGACTCTGGCTGTTGTAAATTTTTTGTATTGTTAAATATATCGGGGGAACGAAATAAAAATTGATTCGATTGAAGATCTTGCAATGATGAAAGAAAACTTGGGATTTTCATACTTATATCTTCGACGTCTGATGGAATGGCCGATTGTTCGGTCAAAGGTACCAATTCGGATGTGGTTTTATCACTTACTAATACTTCTGGTATTGCGTTGCTAGGAGGAGGCGGGAGTAGGTCATCGTTTCTTGAAAGTAATATAGGCACTGAACTAGGATTTGTTTTTTCTGTATTATTATCTAAAGGGGTTTCGGTTATGTCCTCTGATGTTTTTAGTGGCTGATCAGGTATTTGCTCTCTAGAAAGGCGAGGTAAATGAGCCCTACTTGAATGTAAAACAACTTGATACCGATGACGGTACCGAACGCCGCAATGCTCGCAGCCGAATTTGTCTCTACGATGATGCCATCTTTTATGGAGAATCAAACTCGAATATGTGTGGTAGGGAAAAACTTCACTCCATGATCTGCACCAAAAGCATCGAAGTCCTTTTCTCATGATCAACCGGCTAATGTGCTTGTCTCGAAGTTGGGACATGCAATCAATGGGTTGGTTTTTCCGACGACGTTTTGACGACCTGCGAACCACTTGAATTTCCGTCGGTGGTACAATCTTTTTCGGCTGTTGCTGCTTGCGAGGGCGCTTGGACAGTGGACTCTCTTCTCTCTGAGAGCTGTAATCTGATAAATTGATATTGGCATCTGTCACTCGTCTGTAATTTGACATAACATCACAGGCATAGAATCACATTTATAACGCATGACAACTTTTAGGTCGAGGGTACTAAGGCATGCACACAAACACGTTAGAGAGCATTGCAGAATGTGCTAAAACAATAAGTAAAACATCTGCAAGGCTTTTGCACATCCTACAAGTGCACTCTTTGCTCACATTTTATATACTTATTGGTCAGGGACCTGATTGGCTCCTGCTTAATTGTTCTCTGTCCGGTTGAACGGTGATGCATAAAAACGTGCGTTTCTAAAGATGTGTCATCGACGAATTCACAACCGCATTCTCTGCATATAAACGGAGGAGGTTCTTCTTCTTCGTTTTCATTTTCCGGTTCGGAATTGTCTGATGCTTCCATGTAATGAAAAAGTCTTGCCGCTCCGAAGTGTTTGCTCGAAGATTTCCAATTGTCTTCTTGCACGGAATAATTACTAGGAATGTGACCGTGAGGATTCCATAATCCAGGAGTAGTTGAACCTTCTTCGAAATTTCGCCTATTCGATTGCGCAGTATTGCTGGAAACACCGTTATTAGAGCTTTAAAAAAAAAAAATTTAACTTTCTTATTCTAGATAAAATAATTATCTATTTTGAAATATGTTTAGGAAATAAAAAAAGTACCAGAAAGAAGAATTCATAGCCGGCGATGAATGATTGTTAGTGAAATTGGTACTGCGAAGGACATTATTTGAAGATCTGTTTCTGTGTTCCAGTGGGCTAAAAAAAAACAAAAATAATGTTAGAAAAAAAGTAGTTGAATAACTAATAAGAAAAAACTGTTTTTTTACACTTACTGGTGTTCTTGCATATGCATGGCCAACTGTGCTGAGTCCTCTCCCAAATAGGAACATCGTCCGCAAGCTCTTTTATTATGAACTTTTAAAACGTGAGTGGCTAGTCGTTCTGACCTTGCTGCCTTATAATCACATAAGCCACAGACAAAAGGTTTCAAATGAGTGTTTAAATGTCTTTTTAGGCACCAGTTATCCACTCCCGACCATGCGCAGTAGCAGCACGAATACCTTTTTTCTCCCTTTTTTTTCGCGGATTTGCTTCCGTGAGATTTTGCATTGCATCCGTTTTGTAATTTAGGTGGAGACGGCAATGAAGGTTTAACACCGCGAATATTAGGTGGAGGAGGAAATCCGGCAGGTATGTTTAAGCTATGAGACATTTGCCCTTGAGAAGGTAGAACTTGACCTCGCGGTTGATTCTGTTGGGAAGAGTTATACTTTTGGCAGTAAGACATTCCGTTTGAATTTTTAGGTGGTTGTTTTCTTATGCGATTTAAATCGTATGGATGATCTCTATGCATTCTTAAAAAATGTTTTTTAACATGATCGGCGCGGTTGAACTGCTTTTGACAAACGTAGCACTGAAATGGCTTTTCGTCACGATGAATATTTTCGTGTCTTGTAAATAAATCTCTCCGATCGGTTGCATATGGGCAAAAAGTGCAGCAGTATCTTTTGTTAGGATTGTTTTCGCTGCTTCCTGTCTGTGCACCCGATCTAGAGGGTAAAGAATTTTGCGTAGATCCTTGACTTTGAGCGTTTGATAGGAACTCAGATTTTAAATTCGAATGAGATGTTGAATTGTTAACAACTTGACCAGAAGACGATTCAACTTTTGTCTTCAACCTTTGTAAATATTTGGTAACTTCTTCTAAAACGGGATTTTCTTTCCACATCTCGGTTGAATTTTCTGACGTATCTACCACGTTATGCTGTCTTTGAAGATGCATGCGTACACAGCGAGCCCAAGCACTCGCATAGGGACACTGAGGACACTGAAACACTCTTAAGTTTGCATGCGTGCCTAACCAGTGTTCGGCAACTCTCGATAAAAATCCAACGCATTCGCATTCGGTACATCTAAATAATTTTTGAGCCGAATTGTACGTGGCTATTTTTGAACTAGTCCATTGTAATGCCTCTTCACTTGACACCCATTTGTCTTCACCGGTAGGTCGATATTTTATTGAATCGGGTTGAAGATGATGGTGATGTCCGAACATTCCCGGGGGAGGAGGAAAACCGTTTTGCATAAGTGCTGCAAGTCCGAATGCTGCCAGTGCTCCGTGACTACCATCGGAACCTTCACCGTCGTAATCCGATGTGGTTCTCAGGCTGGTGCTGTGTTCCGTTTCGTTCATGTCTGGTAAACCATCTTCTCCGTATAACTTTCTTGTTATTTCTTTAAACATATCTTCATAACAATCCATAGCTGGAAAAGCATCCATCACCGTTCGGCGACCACCCCATTCTTGAAGAGTTCCTCCTCCTTCCATCTCTCGGAATAATATTTATTCTTTGAACACCACAAATATAATTTCATCGATTTAAACTCATTCGAAAATAATATAACTTTCGTGAGAATGTTTTTTCTGAAATCAATAATAAACATAATTTTTAAAGTTATATTCAAACTTAATACATACTCTTTGAAATTTTTTTTTTTATTTTTCGTAAAAAACTTTTTTGACAAATGGATTCCACGTTTTCATTTTAATACACCTCATATAACACATGAACCTTCTACCTTCGAGGGTTTTTTTTTTTTTTAATAATAAAAATTTATTATTAGCAGTGAATGTGTTTTAAGCTTAAGGCGATAAAAAGATTTAAAAAAAAAAAACAAAAAAACAAAAGTAATTTTATAAATTTTATCCAAAATGAATAATTCATCCCTTTAAGTAATTTATAATCAATATATATATTAATAATATATACATAAAATTTAAGAAACAAACTTTGAAAATGAAAATCTAAATGCACAAGTATCTTTTGGTTGTTGCAGGGATAAGAGTATTTTAGGGAGTCGGAGTGGGGGTATATAGGGGTTGGGCTGATGGATCAATACAAGGCAAAGAAGCCTCCTCGCCTGACAGGCGCATCTCCCTTTTCCATTTGACCCTTAGTTTCAGTTTTCCTACCTTTTGCGATTTCTTTATAATTTATCTTAATAATAATAATAATAATAATAATAATAATAGTTAAATAATATTAATTTCCTTTGAAATCAATTTTAAATAATTTTATATATATGAACAAAACAAAACAATTTATTTTGACCCCACACACAAAAACAATTTAAAATATTTCTCATTAAATTCAAAGCAAAAAAAAAAAAATTACAATTACTAATAATAATAATAATAATAATAATAAATTTCGACGGGGGAAGCATTTACAAATAACAATTCACGATCACGGATTTTAAATTTGTTTTTTTTTTTTTTTTTTTTTTTTATAATCCAATGAAAAATTAAATTAAAATTTAATTTAAAAACTGAATCTAATAAATTTTTATTTAAACGAAAGCCTAAAAGGAGTAATTGAATTACGTTCGATTACTAATAAAATTAAATCACTATTTTATATGTTTTACTCGTTATTTATAAAAAATAATAATAATAATAATAATAATTAAACTGTTATCGGCAGAAAATTTTATTTTATACAAATTAAATATACGCGTGGAAATTATTTATATATTTAAAATAAAAATTAATAATTATTTATTAATATGATTCATCGCATTAATGATAATAATAATAATAATAATAATAATAATAATAATCAAATTAAATAAAAAAAAATATTTTAACGTCAATTAAAATGAAAATATTACAGCGTAAAAAAAAAAAAAAGAAAGAAATGAAAAAGGGAGGTTCTATATAAGAAATAATAGGAAACGTGAAAGGATGAGAATGAACAGTGAAGCGGGAGTTAAATTTCCCTCCCGCGTGTGGGCGAGAGGGAAAAACTTTCCCTCCATGAGGTATCGATCGGGAGGTGGGTGGGTGGGGGGGTGGGGCGGGCGAAAAGCGGATGAGGGAGAGGGCGATCAATACGAGGCTGAGGTCGTGTGGGGAAAAACTTCATCCTATTCCTACTAAAAAATGGGTGGCAATCCTTTTTCCATTTTCTTATTATTCTATTTCAAAAAAAAAAAAAAATCCCTCGCAGGTACATTAAATATTTTTAAAATTATTTATTTATTTATTATTTATTTCGTTACAAATAATAATAATAATAATGATAATAAAACAATTACAAAACGACTGAATTAATTTTTTTTTTTTGCACAAATAATTGAATTAAATTTTTAAAAAAAATTATTACAAAGAATTTTTTTCCTCCTTTTTCTTTCTTTTTATAATTTTTAACTAAAACGAAAAAAGAAACCTGGTACCTGTACCTATGTGGTTCGTTAGAAATTAAAAAAAAACCTAACGAAAAAAAAAAATTAGTAGTCGTTAATAATTTTATTTGTATTAATTTAATTTTATATTTATTAAACATGTCGCATTAACAATTGAAAAACGATTAGTAAATTCGTTATAATAAATAATAATAATAATAATAATCTGTCACGTCTGTGGGAGGTCTTAAAGACCCTTCAGTATGAAAAAGCTCAAGGTCACCGAGGTTAGGTTTATTTTATTTTATTTTATTTTTATGTTAGTTTAAAATATATTTTATTCATTTATTTAAATAATAATAATAATAATAATAATAATAATAATAATAATAATAATAATAGTAATATGTGCGTATGTTACAAAAGTAAAATAATCTCACACGTTTCCTTACGCACACACACAACGCACGCACTCAGACGTAAAAAATATTTAAAACCTTAGTGAAATTCGAACTCATCACCACCACCTTTCCTCCCCCTCTCTTTCTCTCTCTCTCTTCTCTACCCTACTCTTGAAAAAACTACCCTCCTTCTTCTTTCTCTTGTTTCTAAATTTTTTAGGCTTTTACTTCCTGTCGACCCATCGGTATATATATAGACCTACTATTCCATCTACCCCGGGATTCATTTTTATCAACAACAACTAAATTTCTTACAATTTTCTCTCTCTCTCTCTCTTTCGCTTACTAAAACTCCCCAGTTATTTTTTCTTTTTTTTTTTTTATATATTATTTATTTTACGTAGGCGCGTTTTATATATAAATCTACGTTTAAAAAAAAAAACGTTTTTAAAAATATAATAATTAACTTATTATTATTATTATTAAAAAAAGGAAAAAAATTATTATTATTATTACCGTAATTATTATTATTATTATTAATTAAAATTATTAATTAATTAATTAATTAAACAAAAAAAAGTAAATAAATTTTTTATTTATTTTTTTCATTTTTAAACAATTAACTTAAATGCAATTTAAAAAATTTTTTTTTTTTTGTTTAATTAATTTTTCATTTAAATAATAATTTTTTTACCGTCGAAATAATAATAATAATAATAATAATAATAATAATAATAATAATAATAATAATAATAATAATAATAAATAAAATATTGTTAACGAATTTCGTACATAATTATTATTAACAAATTAACTGACTTATCGTTTGATAAAAAGAATTTAATTAATATCTGACCGTCATTTCTTTTTTCTTATCAGTTTATTATCACCATTTTATCATCATTATCATTATCATCATTATTATTATCATTACTAACAAATAATATTTAATAATAAGTTTTTTCCCCCTGGCATAAAATTTATATAAATAAATGCGGAGGATAAAATTACTTATTTTTGACTGATAATAATAAATATTTAATTTATTACTTTAATAAAAAGTTTAATGATAATAATAATGATAATAATAATGATGATGATGACGACTCGAAAAAAAAAAAAAACGAACGGAGGAGACCTTGTTTAAAAAAAAAAAATTGTTTCAAGGATATAAACTTTCATTCCTTAAGGATTAAGATACCTGAAATGAATTTTTTTTACCCAATACCACAAGGTACCTCCATACGGTATAGAATAAATAAATAAATAAATACCTGACGAAAAAAAAAGTAAAATTACATTACGTACCTTAAAAAATAATTTTAAAAACTAAATTAAATTCACCGTTTAAAAATTAAAACAAAAAAAAAAAATGAGATGATATTCACTGAAAATCATGCACTTGTTATAAGACATTTAAAAATGTTAAGAGTGAGAGAAGAAAGAAGTAGAAGAAGAAGAAGAAGAAGACCTTCCTCTTCGACGTTCACCCCATCATTTGTTCTTCTTGGCAAGTCACCCTTCGACACACCCGACTCCCTCTCACCCACCACCACCACCACCACTACCACCCCCACCAACTCCAACACTTCTTTCCCCTTCTCTCACACTCACAAACTCCCTCGCGCATCTCGCCCACCACACGAAAATAATCACTTTTATACAGAATTTCTTCTTCTGCTTCTTTTTTTTTTTCTCCTTACAACTCACAAAAGTTTTCCATATTATTATTATTATTATTATTATTATTTTTCTAACGTTTATTTTTATTACAAGTTATATATATTAAAAAAAAAAAAAAAAAAAAAAAGTTCGTTAAAAGACGGTCCTCCACAACTCGATTATTGATTTTCTCTATTAATACAAAAAATAACGTACGCGTTAAATATCATTATTATTATTATTATTATTATCATTACGCATATGAGGGACGTTATTAAGTAATTAATTAAATCCCTAAAAAAAAATTTAGAAACATTTATTTAATTATTAATTATATTTAATTTAATTTAATTTTTTTTTTTCAAGGGGGTTCGTTGTTAACAAAAAAAAAGGAAAAAAATTATAATTAATTAAAACTAATTAAACAAAACATTAACTTTTTTTTTTAAAATAAATAAATAAATAAATTTTTACGTAATTTAATAATAATAATATGAAAGGGGGAGTAAGAGAGAAACAGGTTTCGTAACAAAAAAAACAAAAAAGTTAAATTAATGTGACCGTGCAAAGAAGAAACGAATATACTTTGTGTATCCCTCACGAAATTTCACCCTCTTCCTCCCCCTTTTTTATCCAAAAATTTCAAACAAGAGATTCACTCCCACTAAATGGAAGTTAGTCTTAAAAGCATTCCAACGGATGACCCTCGACCGTTAAAAAAGATGAAAAGATTAGTCATTTTTAAGTCCGCGGGATGCTGCGAGAGAAGGGTTGGTTCATGAGAGATTGGGTTGAAAACGCGAGATCACATCCGAGGAGGGGTGAACTTATAACAAAAAAAAAAATTTTTTTTCGGGGGATGAATCTTCTCACAGGAGCATCAATATATTTTTAAGGGCCAAATTTAATGAGAGGGTGGAATTTTACGTATACTTGCATCCTTCTTTTAATGAATAAAAAAAAAACCGTTAAAAAATTTTTTTTCAACTTTTAACGTATTTTTTTTTTTTAAGTGTAACTTTTTGAATAAATTAATTATATAATATTTTTTTGGAATAACGGCCGTTAAATTTTGACAATG